TTTTTTTTTTTTTGGGGGGGGTACTGGGGATCGAACTCGGGTCCTTGTGCTTGCAAGGCAGGCCACTGAACCGCTGAGCTAAATCTCCGGCCCAATACTGTATTTTTTTTGATAGGTACCTACACTAATTCTCTGTCTTGGTTAGTGTGAATACGGCTGCAATAAACATGGGTACATAGGTATCTCTTCTGTATATTGATTTCATTTCCCTCAGATATATACCTAGCTGAATTACAGGGTTGTTTTTGTTTGTTTTGTGAGGAAGCTCCACACTTTTCCCACAGTGGCTGTACTTACTAACAGTATAGAAATGTTTCTTTTTCTTTACATCCTTACCGGCATCTTATTATTTTGTTGTTGCTGTTTTACATAATAACCATTTAACAGGGTTAAGATGGAATCTCATTGTAGTTTTGATTTGTATTTCCCTGATAGCTAGAGATATTGAACATTTTTCATGTTTTTACTGGTCATTTGTACTACATTTTGAGAAATGTCTTGTTAGATCATTTCCCTTTTTATAATTGGATTGCTCCTTTCTTAATGTTAATTTTTGATTTTTAATTCTTCATATATTATGGATATTAACCTTGTATCTGATAATTATCTGGCAAAACTTTTTCCCATTCTTTAGGCTGTCTCTTCAATCTGTTAGCTTTCTTTGCTCAAAAGAAAATGGCTCCTAAGAGAATAAATTATTAACAACCTGACAAAAGTCACTGTAAATTTTCAGAAAGAATTAAATGCAAGAAAGATCAAAGGCAAATAAAAACCAAAAAAGAAACCAATAATGCCTGTCCAAGAAATGCCTGTGGCTGAGGGTGCCAGGTCCTATCAATTTCACTATGCAGGACTTTCTGGCTGGTATGCCTACTGTAGCACTAGATGCAATATAGTATGGACTTGATGCTATTAAATATCAGAATTCAAGTTGATCTCTCACAAATTTTTAGGGATAAGTCTTGAGCAGTGTGTATTTCCAAATACTGCACTGAACAGCAATTTGAAAATGTGTACACAATGAAAAGCAACGAAGTTGAATTAAAAGAAAGCTATTTCAAGGCTATATAACTGATTCTTCAGCACCACTCACTGACAATGAACTTATCCAGCTAAACATTATTTGACCATCATGGAAGTAATACTTTTAAATCACTGTGAATTAAATAAAATCGGTTATCTGACTGCATACATCATCTTCTTATGAGTATTATTAGCCTGAACAATCTCATTGAACTAATCACTATGGAGACTAACAAAATACATTTTTACACTCAAGGCAAAGTGATGGATTCTCAACACTGGTAAATGCTTTCCTGTGTGGTTTCCAGGTAGTCAACAGAGGATATTATCATTAAAACTGGTCATCCTATAAAGATGAGAATACAATGACTTAAGAAAAACAGAACTATGCTTCCTGTGAAATACAACTAAACACTCTACATTTTCTGTGAAACAAACTCTAAAAGGTGAAGAGAAGGTCTGGGGACATGAGGAACAACACAGCTTGGGTTCCTCAAGTTTTCTTTTTGTTTCACATATCCCAGACTTAAGAGATGTAGAAGAGGCAATATAGAAATGGGCAAGGACAAACGCCTGCTCTTTCTAGCCAATGGAAAAGGAGAGGAACAGTATAACATGGTAGAGAACTTTCAGGCAATAATTATTCTACCTTTAGGTAAAATCTACAGGGAAAAAAAAGTCCCACCTCCATCACTACAGTCTAAGTGGGAAGCCAAGATATCTACCCTCACAAGGCTATCATACGGTATCCAACACTCATAGTGACAGAGGAGGCCAAGTGAGGAGTTAGGACTTTCCTCTCATCTCAGGAAGTAGGAAATAAGGCACCCTGCAGTCAGTGGAGAATAATTAAGGAGTCTGAATTTCCACTTTCACACATGGTAATGACAGCAGCCTTCTCCTATACATTTGGTGGTGTTAGAGACCTACTGAATAATCAGAACTCTTGTCCATCACCTAGTACAACATTAATCCTTGCATAGCAATAACAATGAACCTACTGGGTGATGACAGAGGGCACTGAAGAACCTGAAGTTGAATCTCCATTTCACAGTAACAAGGCAGTACCTCCTCCTCTTTCCAGAGTGATATCAAAAGGACCAACTAAAACAGAAAATTTAAATAGACTGGCAGCATAAAAGCATTCAGGTTTAAGGTTTAAGTTTCAGGTTTAAATAAAATACTGTTCATCTTAACAAGAACAAAGAAGATCTCAGACAATCAAGAAAGATGACATCTTGGTCAAATAATTACTAAATGCTTTAATGAGTGGTTATGAACATTCTTATACCAAATGAAAAACAAAAAGCCTCAGCAAATCAGTATAGAAATAGAAAATATAAACAAGAACCAAATGGAAACTTTAGAACACAAAAATACAATAGCTAAAATAAAAAGCTCAATGAATGGGCTCAACAGGCAAATGCGAAGGATGTAAGAAAAACTTAAATGAACCAGAAGACAGGACAAAAGAAATTAGCCAGTTTGAATAGCAGTAGGAAAATAAACCGAGAAAAAGAAAATAGCAACAAAGGGACCCACCAGGTCTTCTCTGTGTGCTGTGACAAAAGATCTAATGTTGGTGTTAAAGTGTCTTTGAAGGTCAGGAG